ATGCTGCAGGGTCATTTTAAATAAGTTTCTTAGAATTTCAATAACAAAATGAAACCCAGAATTAGACAAAATAAAGTATGATTTTATTCTACACTCAACCATACCAATAGAATATTATTCTCTCCAAGGTTATGTTGCCCTTTACTGAGGCCACCATCCCTTTTCTGGAATAACAAAATGTCAACATTTCTGTGTTCTTGAGTTGCTGAACTAGACCATGTTAGGTAAAACCAGTCTTTGTTCAATAAACTTTAATGATCATTTAATACTTAACCAACCAAAAAAACTATATTACTAGATAAAGAAGTAACTAAGATTCTGGTGAGATTTCCTGGTTTGGTACATTTCAATGCTGAAGCTTCATTTTCCAGGCTGTTTGATCATCAAGATGGTCAGTGCATGAATAGATGCATTTCTGCATTAGTGTTATTTTATGTTGATTAGGCAGTAATGAGTTTTTCATAACTCACTCACATTCATTAAGTTATTAATGAGAGATAAATGCTGGATTTGGTGGCAAAACAACAATAATGTTACATGTAGAAGACCCAGAAAGGAAAAATCTTGATTAAGTCAAGTTTTTTTTAAAGTAATGCTATTTCTTGTTTTTGTTCAAACTGGGAGGAAAAATCTTGATTAAGTCATTTTTATTTTTGGTAAGTAATGCTATTTCTTATTTTCAAACTGTAATCTAGAATAATATCTATATTTTAATCTTTTATGATTACAATAAAAACTCATTCTCATTATAGAAAAATTGAAAAATGCAGAAAGTATAAAGCAAAAAATAAAAATTAACCATAATTTTACCTCCTAAGGAGGTAAATGATAATATGTGCATTTCCTATGCTATTTTTGTGCCTACTTAAGATTAAAGCATATATGTCGTTTTTATTCATCATTATATTATAACCATTGCCCCATCTATATATATAAAAGCCTAAGTGACCATTACGACTGGTTGACTGAACAACCAGTTGATGCGCACCGTCCCCCAGAGGGCAGATGCTCAATGTAGGAGCTGCCCCCTGGTGGTCAATACGCTCCCACAGCCAACCTCCTGTGATCCTTCCCGCCAGCCGGCTGGCCCCCAACTGTCCCCAGATCGCCAGCCAGGCTGAGGGACGCCACCCATGCACGAATTTGTGCACTGGGCCTCTAGTTTTATTAATAATTCTTCAAAAGTGCCATTGTAATAGCTGTGTAATAGCTCAGTGATAAATGTGCCATAATTTAATTAATTTTCTGTTGAGAAACATTCAGACTTTTTAAAAATAATATTTCACTACCAAGAATAATTCTGAGATGAATATCCTTAAACTTCTTTATCAAATGTCTAATTAATTCCATAGGGTAGATTTCTAAAGTGGGATTACTAGGCTAGAAAATATGAACTCGTATAAGGCTCTTGTAACAAATTGCCAAATTGCTTTCCAGACAGTAATTCACACTTCCACCATCAGGGTAAGTACCTGTCTCATCACAGTCAAGTTTTTAACTTTAATTTTGACTAATTTAATAAGCAAACTTTTAATAGCATTATTAATAAACATTCCCATGGATTTATGGGTTGTGTTTTCTTCTGTGAAACATAAATTCACATCCTTCTGAGAACAAAAGCATGGGGCATGGTACTGAAAAATGCTTGCTTGAGGCTCATTGAAATTAACTTTAGAATAAATTGTACACATACTCTCCTATATAAACCAGTCCAATACTATTTACTCTAGTTGGAGAACAACTCTAAACACTAAAAAATAAAACCAAACTCTTGTGAGGGAAATCATACAAAAATTTTTTCAATAAATCTTGAAAAGAAGAACATAGCAATCAAAACTCAGAAGCTATTTTAAAAAGTAGGAAATTGGCTTCAGATTCAAAATTTCATCACAAGTAAAAAATATATTCCTGATGGTTCAGAACATAGTTATTGTTATGATTTTTACAAAATCCAAACGCAAACCCTGTCTTGCCATAGCAGACATGAACTTGCAACCAGGTTAAGATAGCTGTAAGGGCTCCCCACGCCTCCCTTCCCGCTCTGTGAAGTTCTTGTGGGCCAGGCTCTTTGATCTTGCTGCTCTGTTTGGATGGCTTCAATTGTCAAAGTCAATACATGGTTCAAGATGTGGGCTTCAGCCACAGCGATCTCATCTACATTCCAGAAGCAAAAAGCAAGGTGGGACAGACAACGAGGAGGGGGTGAAGGACATGCTCTGGTTGTTTCTAAGGAAGATGCCCCATGAAATGTCCCCATACATGTTACTGGGCAGAAGTTACACACCCACACTCAGCCATGAGCTCATCTAGGATTCCTGGGTCCTCTCACTTGGGAAGGGTGGGAGAATAGATATTGAGAAGATAACCAGCAGTTTTTATTACCTTCCTGCTGATAATAAGCAATGTTTTGTTAGCATCTATGCCTTTGTATTTCCTGATAGGTAGGACTGAGGTATTTTGTGATCCTCAAAATGCACCCATATTAAACAGCTAATTCCACCTATGACAAGCAGAATTATTAGTATAGACCAGCCATGGGCAAACTATGGCCTGCTGGCCGGATCCGGCCCATTTGAAATGAATAAAACTAAAAAAAAAAGACCGTACCCTTTTATGTAATGATGTTTACTTTGAATTTATATTAGTTCACACAAACACTCCATCCATGCTTTTGTTCCGGCCCTCCGGTCCAGTTTAAGAATCCATTGTGGCCCTCGAGTCAAAAAGTTTGCCCACCCCTGGTATAGACAATAATATTTTATCAAATATTATAGAGTTAATAGAAGATAATTTATAATACTGTGCATTTTGCTTCTCGCATCTCTTCTGCTCCTAGCTTTCAAGCAGAATAAGATAACTTTGGGTGCTCTGAGTCCAAATTCACTTCATTATAGCATGACATGTCATAGCAACGTGTCCCGCAAACACATGAGGAGCCTTCCGGGTTCCCCGCAGCAGAGCATCCCCTCTACCTGGATTCTTCCTGGCCAAGTTGTGAGAATTTAGAAGTAACAAGAAATCTGCTATTCAATTATTTTTCTTTAAAAGTTGATGAAGACTTTATAAATTATCTCCATTTTCTTATAAGACTCCAGGAAGAAATTCATCTCAAGGCCCCAAGAATAGCTCTTTCACCCATATGTTCACCGACTGGTTTGATTATGTGTTGGCATTCCTGCTGGTTTAATTTCACCAACATTACTTACCATTCATCAAAAACCACATGCAGAGAGCTTTACCAAATAACCCAACAAGGCCTTGTGTCGACATCTCCTCCCATCATCTGTCACCTGGATGGGCCCCAGAAACAACTCAGACACCAACAAGGACCCGAAGCCACTGTGGCAATGATGCATTCCCTCATTCAGTGCCTCAGACTTCTTCCCCAGGGCCTTGGGCATGTCAGGGCTCTGGGGCCTTAGCAGTCATGTGTGGGTACCCATATCAGCGTCCCAACTAGCAATTAGGGGAAACGTGGCTAAAATTTAAACTGCCAAATATTTTTTCTCCCTCTTAGTGACTATTTATAACAATATAGCCCTTCTACATTTGACCAAAAAATTTATTTTGAATGTGTATTTGGGGTTTTTGTCCTTCCCAGATTCTCCTGTAATAATAATATTAGATTAAATCATAGAAAATACCAAATTCTGCAAGTATTACTTGAGATGACTTCATGATTGTATTTTATGGTCACTGGTCTTTGTGTCTTCTGAATGCTAAGTTGTCTCAAAGACAACCCAAATTGGGGTGTTGGGGAGGTGTGCAGTGTGGTGGTGGGGGAACCTTAATTACAACTTATGAAAATAAAAATTTAAGACTTACTTTTTAAAAGAGTGAGTATTATTTATAATCATTTAAATTATATCACCATGATGCGGGCTGTCTTTCATCATTTAGTTCTCCTTCTGGAATGTATCTTTCTATTTCTACTCATTAGCATGTTATTTCTTCATTTAAATGACACTGATACAAGTATCTAGCCATGGATAATATTTCTTCCTTTTTAAATGAAGTTGCATTAGGTTATAAATAGCTGATGACTCTCCAAACTCCTCTAGTTTATGGGAGAAATAATTTAATAAGGACTTGGGTTGCTTTCTGTAGCTTTGCTAATGCAAATGAGTAATGTGTATTGATTTTTCATGGTGTGAAAACTCTTTTTATTCATCTTGTGCAAGAAAGTTTGTTAAAGAATTATTAATGATGTGATAATTGCTTTAAGATCTATGCCCTAATTAAAACAGTAAGTTCTTTATTACATCTTTATTTTAATTAGATGTACAGAGAGACAATAATTTCTACAAGAAACCCTATGCAAAATAAAATTACCTCCTTCAGAAATGCTTCAAGCGCTCTGCAGCGGTGCTGTGCGGAGAGGACGAGAGAACTTCCTGAAGAAAAGCCACAGTGGCTCCACTGCCCCTCAAATCTCAGACGCCTCCAGCTGAAAGTAATAACCTTAAACAAACTGTTTCACACCTTTACTTATTTTATTTAGCACATTTTATTTTTTATTGAATTTATTGGGATGCCGGTGGTTAATAAAATTATATAGGTTTCAAGTGTACAACTCTACAATACATAATCTGTATATTATATTGTGTGTTCAACACTCAAAGTCGAGTCTTTTTCCATCACCATTTATCCCCCTCTACCTACCTCCCTCACCTCCCTTTCCTTCTGGTAATCACCATACTGTTGTCTGAGTCTATGAGGTTTTTTCCCTTTAATCCCTTCACCTTTTTCACCCAGTGTTGGAATCCCCCTGTTTCACACTGATAGTGAAGTACAATTCATCTATACTAATACATTCTGCCTCTACTTTTTAATTTAATGTCCAGTTCTTAAAACTAAATATATTTTTAAAAGTCTGAAAAGCTCAACTAAAGACTAGAAGGAAAATGAACTTATTGTCACAGAAATTACCTTAGATCAACTTGAGTCAATTTGTTTCTGCAGTTGTACTTTGCTGTTTCTTCAATTTGCAAGACGATCCTTTTTAATTTGTTCTGCATTGCCTGTATAGAAAAACCACAACCAAAATCAATAACTGCCTTCCATTTATCATGCCATTCTGTTCTCTCTGCCTTTTTGTCTTCAATTTGTATGTGTGATTGACTGGGGCCGTGCACCCACGTGCATAATTGTTCACATTTGAGTGCAGATCTTGGGACAATGGGTTGGGATCTTTCTGGACTTTTATTTAACCCTCAGAACACCCAAAACCAGGAAAGCATGACTTCAACTTTATAGAGAAAGGAAGTGAAGGTTTAAAGCTGTGATCATTTGGACCAGGGGTCAGAAAATTATAATCCATGGGCCACATCCAGATTGTCCCCCCAGGTTTTATAAATAAAGTTTTATTGGAACTTAGACACCCATTTGTTTAGGTGTTGTGTATGACTGTTTTCTTGTTACAATGGCAGTGTTGAAGAGTATAGTGAGAAAGTGTCTGACCTGCAAAACCTAACATATTTATTACCTAACCCTTAAGAGAAAGAATTTGAAGATCCCTGGTCTGAATAAAGAGCTCGGAATTCCTCTCACAATCACATCTTCCATTCATCAGATCCCATTGTGTTCCACGTTTCAAATCGTCCACCTCCGTCCTGGCCAGGTGGCTCAGTTGGTTGGACTGTGGTGCTGTACACCAAAAGGTGCGGGTTCTGTTCCCAGTCAGGCCTCATAGTTGGGTTTCAGGTTTGATCCCCTGTGTGGGTGCATATGGGAAACAACCGATGTTTCTCACATTGATGTTTCTCTCTCCCTTCCTCTCTCTCTAAAAATTCATTAAAATATTTAAAAACAAGACAAAAAACATATACTCAGGTGAGGATTAAAAAAAATCATCCACCCCCTTTTTCTAGTGTACTTTTAGAACTTTATTTCTTTACTAGAAGCCTGGTGCATGAAATTCCTGCACTGGTGGGGGTTGTCCCTCAGCCCAGCCTAAACCCTCTCTAATCTGGGACCCTTTGGGGGATGTCTGACTGCTGGTTTAGGCCTGATCCCTCTCACAATCCAGGACGGCTGGCTCCCAACCATTCGCCTGCTTGCTAGCCTGATCACTCCCTAACCACTCCCCTGCCAGCCTGATGGATGCCTAATTGCTCCCCTGCCAGCCCAATCACCCAACTGCCCTCCCCTGCCAGCCTGGTCACCCCCAACTGCCCTCCCCTGCCAGCCATCTTGTGGGGAGGACCAGGATCTGCCCGGGGGGACCGGGATCATACCCAACTGCCCTCCCTGCCAGCCTGGTCCCCCTGCAACTTCCCTCCCCTGCGGCCTGATCACCCATAACTGCCCTCCCCTGCCGGCCATCTTGTGCAAGGGTGTGATGGTCAATTTGCATATCACCTCTATATTATGCAGTGGTTCTCAACCTTCTGGCCCTTTAAATATAGTTCCTCATGTTGTGACCCAACTATAAAATTATTTTCGTTGCCACTTCATAACTGTAATGTTGCTACTGTTATGAATCGTAATGTAAATATCTGATATGCAGGATGATCTTAGGCGACCCCTGTGAAAGGGTCATTCAACTGCCAAAGGGGTCACGACCCACAGATTGAGAACCTCTGTTATATAGGATTTATTTATTTTGCCACTCTTATTATACTAGTAAAAGGCTTTTTCCTATGAGCAACATCTCCTTTCTGAATAGTCAGAAATAACATCTCTCTAGTCTATTTCTCTTTTAGCTGTCTGTTATTATTTAACTCTGATCATGTTATTTAACCCAATATAGCATTTTGGACCTCAGCTAGTAAGAGGATTGGTTATAGCAAAATATTGCCTCATATTACCTCATCTTATAACCTGAATTTCTTCCTTTAAATTTCCCACAGGACAACAGTTATTTGGCTGCTGGGCAAAGAGTCACGGGTATTTACAGTTTAGAAAATACAGCAAATAGCACATAATAAACATTAGATCAAAGAAGCACCATGTCCAGTCAGAGATCCTATACTTCCTTTCATGTAGAGAAAACGGAGAGCTGTGAGGTTGGGAAGGGTGTTGCCAACCCAGGACACAGTGGTCAATGAATCATTTAATACTAAATAAAAGCTCCTTTCTCACCGACGCTGCTCGTTTTGCAGTAAAAGTTGCCCAGCTCCAGAATTACCTTCAGCAAATTCAGTCACATGAACTAATTTAGGAGGCTTTAAAGAGCCAGGCCTATTTGAAGAGTCCCTAAGAGGATTTCTACAAGAGAAGAAAAAGACCGGAGAAGGTCTGATTAGTCAAAAAGGGTTCAAAAGTAGTAACAATGGAAACATTTTAAGATGTTCAAGAACCATTTAAAAATAGAATATCCATACTGTAGAACACTATGTACTAGAAATGATATTATAGGAGAAAATACAATAATAAGGGGCCATAGCAGGTTCTTAAATGTATATGTTTAATTTTATTATTTAATTTTTGAAATATACATTATATATATATATATATAAATTGGAAGGTATATATCACAGTAGTAATATTGGTTATCTTTGGGTGATGGAGTTATGACTAACTCTATTATAGTTTTCTCTATGCTTTTCAATATTTTCCCAATAAGTATCTATTAGTTTCCTAATCATAAGATGTTTCTTTTTATGAGACAGAAAGAACACAAGTAGAAATGTTATGGATAATCTGAAGAGAAAAACAGATATTTTCTCTCCTATGTAAAATTAAAGAATTTTGGTGAATGTGTTGTTTCCACCCTAGGATTTGGAAAGAATATTAAAAGCAGATTGATTTAACTGAGATGTGGTAAGAGAAAAGGTTCAGGTTGTTTTCAGAAACATTGGAATAAGCAAATACTGTTACTAACTTTGAAGGTCCTTGGGACTCCCTAAAACTGCCCACAGACAAAATTCTTTCTTGTTTGCAAGACTCAGTTTAGGCGATCCCCTTGGTCAAGACAGTCTTGCTTACCCTGGTCTTCTTGAACCAACTAAAAAGTTTCCTCTTCCCTATTCCCTAACCCCTATCCACATTCCCACTTTTCACGAATCAGAATTCCCTTCCAGAGCCAGTAACATTTCTATAGGGTTGGGCTTACTTTTTCTTCCTTCCTTTCTTCCTTTCTTCTTCCTTCCTTCCTTCCTTCCTTCCTTCCTTCCTTCCTTCCTTCCTTCCTTCCTTCCTTTCTTCCTTCCTTCCTTCCTTCCTTCCTTCCTTCCTTCCTTCCTTCCTTCCTTCCTTCCTTCCTTTTCTCTTCTCTTCTCTTCTCTTCTCTTCTCTTCTCTTCTTTCTTTCTTTCTTTCTTTCTTTCTTTCTTTCTTTCTTTCTTTCTTTCCTACCACATTGAGGACAAGACCAGCTTTAAATCATAGACATAATTCCAGTGCTCAGAGTAAGTATTTGAATTGCCCATAATAATCAAATATGTCTGCTCAGCAGAATTTGATTTATTTTGGCCTTCCAGCCCAATTCTTAGATATGCCCCACCCTCTTCATCTCCTGTCAAACCTGTTAAAACTGAGCCAAGTTCATGGCTGGGAATGGAATGGGTGCTGGGCCAAAAGCTGTACTTGAATATATTTGCCTAAACCAGGGGCAGAGAACCTTTTATCTGCCAAGGGCCATTTGGATATTTATAACATAATTCTCAGGCCATAGAGACTTATCAACTTAAAAATTAGCTTACTATATTTGGTCAATCATTTAACTAACTCACCCCTAGTGCCTTGGCAGGGCCAGACCGAATGATTTTGTGAGCCTTATATGCCCTCAGGTTGCACATTCCCCACCTCTGGCCTAAACATTCGCTTTCAACAATTTTTGAATAAACTGATGCAACATTTAAGACTAAGATGAAAAATTACTGGAGGAAGCAACAAGAACTACTAAATTGAAACATTAGTCTTTGTCCATTAGACTCTTAGGGAATATAATCAAATGATCGTGCTATTTTGTAGACATTATCCTTCACCCAATACACCACTGGCCATGCCCAACCCTCTCTCACTCCCCCGGCCCAGTTTGGAGGGCTTTCCCTCACCCTTTCATGGGTGGACACTCAAAACTTACTCAGCCTGGACCCTATTGCATCTATACTTCCTCTGCAAATCTGACGAGCCAGTGCAATTCCCAACTTGAGGATTTTGTTGAGATGTTCTTTGTGACCTAAGAAAACTGTAGTCTCTCTGGGGAATAAGTTTTAATGCATAGCTATAAAAACAAACTTAGCTATTTAATTTTTAATTCCTCTAGTTTCTTATTTTTGGTCTGCTTGAACAAGGATGGGCTGGACTCCTACGGACACCTTATTAACCCTACCACACATACTCTCCTCCCAGGAGTAAAGGGTAGAGCAAATTGGGGGATGAGGTGAGAGCAAGGTTTGGAGAGAGAAGCTCTTGTTAAAGCAAGTCAGCACTGATCTGTTTGTGGAACACCTGTTATTCTTGGACTTTTCCAAGTAAGTCTAGCATGTTATTCCTAATCAGCACTAAAAAGAAAAATCGCAATTTATTGATGGCTAATCAACCAGGCTGATGCCTTACCAAATTGTCATGATTTTCTGCTGTCTGTTGGTATAGGGTGATCCACTAGATTTGTTGACCAGACACCAACCACAAAGCATTCCTAAGTCTTGTATCTGCCTCCAATGGAAGTGAAATCAGAAGTAAAGCACAACAAAAACTCAGACAGTCATCTTGAGAGGCAAAACACACTCTGTTTTCGCATAAATTCTGTCTGTTTAATTTGCATGAGTATTTGGGGGTATGAGCAGGGATACGCTCTTTAGAGAGAGTAGGAGATTACATTTCGTAGTGGGTCCCCATATTTTTCTGTGTGGAAAAGGAAGATTTATAAGCTTGTGATCTCTTATAAATGACATTCTTCATGAGGCATGACACATCTTTACTATATCCCCTTCCTTTGGAACTTTAACCCAATGTGATTTTTATGGACAATTACATTAGGAAAGATATAGCAGTAATAGTAATAATGAGCATGTGCAAAGTGTTTGCTGCATGCGTGCCAGGCACTATTTGTGGTATTTTACATATCTTGCCTATTTAAGACCACTGTCATTAGTACAATTTGACTTACGTGGAGGAAGCTGAGGCACAGGTAGATTCCTTCAGCGTTCAGCAGCCTTCAGTGTCAGAGCCAGGACTGGAGCCCAGGCAGTTTGCTGGTGACCATTAGGCTGCACTGCTTCTTAAATGACAGCTGAGAGGTTTTCTCTCCCTCTTATATGATTTGCAGGCAAAAGCCAATTCAAGAGACAGTTACTGAGATTCAGTCACATTGGGCACTGAGTTAAGTGCTGCGGCATATTTTTTTGAAGAAGTAAACCCATCCCCTAATTTTTTTCCCTTTTAATGATGTGGTTATTTCTTTGTCTTACAGACTCTTTTCTTTCTTTTTTAAAAACCTTTATTGTTGAAAGTATTACATATGTTCCCTCCCACCCCCGCCGCCATTGACTTCTTCTAGCCTCCCCCCCCCCCCCCCCGCTACCCCAGGCCTTCACCACCCTATTATCTGTGTCCATGGGTTATGCATACAAGTCCTTTGGTTGATCTCTTACCACCCACCCACCCTCCCTACCTTTCCTCTGAGTTTCAACTGTCTGTTTCATGCTTCTATGTCTCTAGATTTATTTTGTTCATTAGATCCACATATCATGTGATACTTAATATTTCTCTTACTGGCTTATTTCGCTTAGCATAATACTCTCCAGGTCTATCCATGCTGTTGCAAATGGTAAAAGTTCTTTCTTTTTTATAGCTGCATAGTATTCCATGGTGTAGATGTGCCACAGCTTTTTTATCCACTCATCTGCTGATGGGCACTTGGGCTGTTTCCATGTCTTAGCTATTGTAAATTAAGCTGCTATGAACCAATCTTTCTGATCGGTGTTTCTGATTTCTTAGTGATCCCACTTCTAGGAATATATCCATCCCTTATTTTAAATTGCTTAGAGTTTAGCAGGGAGATTAAGACAAACATACAAAGTATAACTTATAATGTAAAAAATGTCATTACATAGAATGAGAACACTGCAACAGTCCAGAGGCAGACCAAGTTGCAATGGTCTTGTAACTGCGGTGACTTTGCCTTCTATTGCATTTTCCAACCTCCGATGTTGAGAAACAGGACTTCCTTATCAATTGTTGTGCCAGAGCAGGGCTTAGTCCATCAGAAGTTGTAACCTTAACCCCAAGCATGTGTTGAGTCTAAGGTTTGTGAAACATGCTTTAGTACTCGTATGAAGTCACAAAACAAGGTGAAGGTGAAGGCAGGGACGGCTCAGAAAGTGCCCATTAAGACTGTCTGGTACCTATCCAGTTCTTTTATTTACCATTACTATTTCTCTTTCTCTCTGTCTCGCTCTGAGTCCTTTTCATTTCCTAGATATAGGAGTGTAGTGTTCTTTCTGGTGTTTGAGACATAAGCTCAGTTTGTCTGTCCTCTGAAGGGCCTTGAACATTTCTGACAGTTTTGGAACCTTAACACGACCCAAACTGTTATGAGATGACATGTGGCAGGCACTTAGCACAGTGCCTGTCACAAAGGAAGGACTTAATTATTGTTGCTTATTCTCTCTCTCTCTCTCTCTCTCTCATTGTCATTTCTGTTGGTTTCCAACCCCCAAAGCCATTTCCACCACACCCTCCTGAGTTGCACCATGTGATAAAGGCAGAGAAAGTGTGTTTGTAAAGACAACAGTATAACCAACACTTGAAAAACTGTAGGTCATTTGAGAAAAGTCCAAATTGTCGAGTTTGTCTGAAATATAGAATGAATTAGTGGGCTAATTGTGGATGTGGACTGTGAGGTAAAGGCTGGTGTGTGGCTGTATTTTGTAACTGTCTAACATCGGAGTCACTTACATCTGAAACAAGACATATTCTCTGAGAACAATGTGAAAAGTGTGGTTCTTTAATATCATGGGCTTTTGTTGAAGCTTTTATGAAAAGTAACAAAAATGAAATTATATCTGAATTTTTAATCTACTTTGCCTGTATATCTTGTTTCAGGCTCATTTTACCCAATAGTGCAGCTGGCCTCTTACCAACAAGTATTCAAGTCAATTTGAATATGAATCTCAGTAAAACATAATTAGATGCATCTAGAAGAGCATAGCTAGCTGTCTAACACATTCCACAGTTACATTTAAATCTGCTGTTTTGGATTATTTACAGCTCTGCTTTCAGTTATTAAAAATTAAGGTTTAACTTACTAAAATTCTGAGTTTGTGTTCAAGATGTTTATCCTGTAAAGCATACCAGCAGTGTGAATGATCCCAGTGCGCATGTCAGACTCTGTGGTGTTCTAGGGCAGACATTCAATGCGAGTGATGGGCGGATTCCATTTTCCCTGGCTCAAGGCAAATATGTAATTAAAAATGTCGATATTCATAGTTAAATATGACTAGCTGATTTTGTGAAGGAATCTATTTTTCTCTGTAAAAAGCTTGGAAAACATGACTTAAAATTCCTCAAGATTTCTTTTGAAATTCTAGTCTATTTAAAAACAAGAAAAATAGTAATAATCACCTGTATCTGTAGTAGATCACACTCTAACACTTATTAATAAAATAGTAACGTGTTTAAGTACTTACACACTTTATTAAAACGCAGTTACCAATCTTGTTTCTTCCAAACACAGCACTTGATGGACCTAAATGATCAAGCTCTTGAAAGAACAACACATGTTCATGAGTAACTTTTTGATCTCAGGTATAAGCAGGTGGAGTCTGTCACTGTGAATTACGGGTCAGCGAAAAGGCCAACCATAAGGAACAGTCTTCTTTTGAATAGGAAGAACATATTTATATCAGAATAAAAGAGTACCCCAATCCATTGCCATGTTCACAGGTGTAACATATCTTCAGTCTTCTGTGCTCAGGGTGGTAATATCAGATGAAGGCTGTGGAAGGGGTGGTGGGGGGAGGCGGGGAGACACGCCTGGCAGATACTAGCAGAGGATGGCCAGGGACCAGCAGAACAGGGATATCTCCATGGAGGCCACTGGGGAGCAGGGAACAGGAATCAGAAGGTACTGGACACTCTTCTCCTGTTGGGGAGACACCTTAGCCACGCCTAAGCTACAAATCTAGGAAGAGAAGAATCCAGAAGCAATTAGACTTAAATACCCCCAAGAAACAGTTATTTAAATGGGTTCACATTGATGCGAAATCTGATATTTTAAGGGAGTGATGAGAAATCCTATTTTGAGAGAGTAATGGGGTGTTTTATGTTCTCATTCTACCTTCCTGTGTGGGCATGCTTTGTCTTTGTTTCAAGTGCTTCATCAAGTTCAGGGATACAGGAGGAGAACCCAGATTAGGGTTCGTGAAGGAAGTAGCGAGGCCTGGGAAGGTTGCCTCAAGGAAGAGTGACTTGAGTGTTATCTGAGTTCAGGACCTGGATGATGACAGAGGAGTCCCAAAGCAGTCCTCCTCACTCCTCGTTCAGTGCCCTTCACACCGTGCCATCCAGCCAGCTGCCTGCCGCCTGCAGCCGCCTGCTCACTGCCTGGCACCTCCAAAGGAGGCATATTAGCAAGGTTGCTCCTGCAAGAAAAGAAAACCTGACTGATTGCGGATTTGATTGTATTATCTGAGAGCTGAACAGAGTGGCTCAGAAATCCAGTCAGGAGGAGAGTACATGCCCTGGCCAAGTGCTCAGTTGGTTAGAGTGTTATCCTGAGACACCAAGGTTGCAGGTTCAATCTCTGGTCAGGGAACATACAACAATCAACCAATGGATGCATAAATGAGTAGAAAAACAATCGACATTTCTGTCTCCCTCTCTCTCCCTTCCCCCCTTTTTTTTAAAATGGGGGAGACCATACATCACCAAATGTAAAGCTCTGGATTGCATGTGAAACATGTTTTGGTGATATGTACTAAACAAACCCATGTGGAACTAGGAACATGCAAAGAACCGCTCACTCGTCCATCTCTTAGGAAAGAATATGTTAGAATAACATGAGCAATGCTGACCTTCTAAGGGTCTCAGGACCCAGCAGACTCAGCGGACTCCGTCCCACAAGCTAAAAGCTCTGCTTCCACATTAGCCGGGACCTTGACAACATTTTTCTGATAAGTGAGCCATCAGAACAAGAAATCAGAAAAGCAAACATGCTTAAAACTGTGGAACCCCGGAGACACTCAGATGAGCTTTGGCCGTGGCTTTGGGAGCTCCTTGTAGAAGTGAGCTTGCCGATCCCAGCAGCAGGCCAGCGAGGTCCAAGTGCAGGGGCCCCTGGGAAATGAGTTTCTGTTGCCCACATACTGACTGGAGTCACCTGTTGACTGAAGAGTGACCAAGATGTTTTTCTGATGTTCTTGTCATGGTGGGCCTAAATGCTCTGGCCAGAGTTTAGAGATTGTTTTGGATTGTGAAGGTCATTCCCCCTGGCTTGGGTCACAGTTTGGCTTCTGGAACAAAACAGAATAGATCTCACAGACATTGTCCCCTGGTCCCCAAGCTCCTGCTTCCTCCAACTCACATACACAAAGGATTTAGCTGGCCCCTTCTTCACCACCCCCAAGTCAAAATTAAGTTCTATTACGTAGTTCCCCTCATTGCTTCATTTCTCATTTAAAAAGTCTTTATGTTTGGACTTATTTTCATTTATTTTTTAATTAATGTCTCTTATTTATTCATTGCCTGTTGACGCCACTGTACTCAGTACTGGAGAAACAAAAATGCACAGTCTCTGGCCTCATAGATTCACTGTGAATTTCAAGAAGTCATTACACACACGAGCCCATAAATAATTCAACATAGGATTTCATATTTAATAAGACTGTTGAAGAAATTGACAAGTTGTATGAAATATTAGGGTGAACAAGTTATCAAGAACCTGGAGAAAGATCCAGGCACAGAAACCTATGGGGAAATTCTGAGAATCGAGGAACTTTCTAGTCCGTTAGGACAAAAGTTCAGGTGTGTCTGTAACCTAATTCCATTTCAGGAGTGGAAGCTTGCCTAAGCCTACATTTCAGAAATTTCCCTTAATCATAAAATACGCCAATGTCCTCCCAAGTATGGCACAGATGTTACCCATGGTAGTTTCCTCTGGGCATTGTTTTGAAATGTCATTAAGTTACAAGTAACAGTGGTTTAAACAAGAGGCATGTGAACACGGTCCATGGTGAGTCACCCGGGCTGCTGCTGTAGGCCCAAGATGTCATTAGTGCCTAGAATTTTTCCTTTTTCTGCCCTTTCTATTTGAATATGACATCTGCTTTCGAGGTGACAGTTATAAAATGGTCCTGGAGATGAAAGTAGTGCTCCGGGAACATGGCAGCCGGCAGGAGTGGATGAGGGAGAGAGTGTGAGTGAGTGAGGGGAGAGAGGGCGAGTGTGTGGTGATGCACGGGTATGTGTGTGTGTGTGACGGACACACGCAAATACATGGAGGCTAAATAGCATGTTACTAAATAATGAATGGGTTACCAATGAAATTAAGCAAGAAATTAAAAACTCCTTGGGAACAAATGAAAATAAACACACGATGATCCAAATACCTAGGGGACAAGGCTAAGGCAGTCCTAGAGGGAAGTTCGTAGCAATACAGACCTCAAGAGACAAGAAAAGCACTAATAAACTATCTAAATTCTAACCCTACAACTAATAAAATAATAAATAAATAAATAAATAAATAAATAAATAAATAAATGGTCCTGGAGCTCCATCGAAAGGCGTGTTTCAAAGGTATTTTTTCCAGAAACCCTAGCCAGCCTCTCTGCTTGTGTCTCAGGGCTTCACACTCTACGAGGGAGCCCACCCCTGCTCCCGGGAGAATCAGTTAGCGACGTTCCAAGGAAAGAAAGGGCACTGGGTTGCCTGCTCTGTCACCCGCCGCTGGGTCCCCCGGAACATGTTGGAGCCCCTTAGCGGGGAGGAGGGTGTGGGAATGGAAGTCGAGTCAAGCAAAGGAGGCCAACCTCGGGGACTCCCCAGGAGGCCCAGGGGCCCGCTTCTCCCTGGCAAACTTCACGAGAAAATGGTGACTCACCTTCAGAAACTGCTGCTCACAAGCATCATCACGTTTTGGGATGCAATTGCTGGAGCCACAAAAACCGTGAAGCATGTTTTATGGGCATGTGTGTAGAGTAGATTTTATATTAATAAAATGTCTAATATCTACTTCACAGACACACTGGAGTTTGTGAATTATCATGGAAAATAACTGATATGGTATTTTTTTAAAGTGACCCAAAAGCAAATCTGTTGTTTGAATCATGACATTTTGTTTCATATATTTTGGGACATTTCAATTTTAAAAAGTGGCTTATTTATTTGACCACTTGTCTCAGCTATTAAAGATGGCACCCCACCCACCCTCCATCAAAAATACTCCTTATTTCTTATTAAAACAAATGTTTTCAGTAGAGAAAAAGCTTCCATAGGAAAATGCATAGGTTTTTAAATATAATGCTATCTCGTCTCACAAACAGAACAAGGAAGCCTGTTTAAATGATGCATTCATTTTAATTCTCATGAAGCAAAATTAAATTTTAATAAAATAAATCAAACATTGGCGTTAATCAAGGGGCAACAATCAGGATCCCGGCAGGAAACAGCACGCCCAGAGCAGGGGGGTCCATTTTCAAAGGAACTGCAATCTACCAAGCTGGGGGAAGGGTAGGGAACAGCCAGGACCTGTGCACAATGACTTCTTCTAGGCCTGTAGGGGACACAATTAGGGAGATGTCAGCAGAACCCAGCATTAGAGAGTTGCGAAGGGAAAGTTGTCTGGAGAAGCAGCGTGATCTTAGACCAAAGAACACACCCAGCTTCAAAGACAGGCCTGGCATCTCAAAGCCCAGCCAAGGAATCAATCCCTGGGCCTCCTGCTGAGTGTCCTGGGGCCAATCCAACCAGGAGGCAAGTGCCTGGGGCCCATGGAGTCCATGCATGACAACACTGAGGCAGAGAACAGGGAGAGGGGTGGGAGGGGGGATTGGACCGGGACGGGTAAACAGAAGGTGTGCCACACAACTTAAGGATGTGTCTACCTGTCATGTGATTCTCTCCCCCTGTGTACTAACGCCTCTTCTTCCTGTGGGAATACGCAATGCCATTCCTTGTCAACCTAATAGTTCTGGTATCCCCAGGGATTACTTCAAAGCTACTCTGCTACCTTTCCAGAAACTATCTACAAAAGCTAATTAATAGTACAGCATTATTAACACATGTAGATTTGGCATTATAAGTCTAATTAAAAGGATTTTAATAATCTCACCTTCCCCTCTACCAACTCCTGAATACTCCAGTCAAAGCAAATTAAACCCATTAATCAAAGTGGTATAAATGATGTAAAGTACAGGATACAGGCAGAACGAAGAGGAGACTAACAGCCCTCATTATGTTTAATTTTGTTCCCCAGCAAAGGATAATAAATTCAAATTGTAACATCACAATAAAACATTTAATTTTTCAAGAGCTGGGAAAGACACATTATAATTAGCTCCCAATTATGCGCTGTCACTTAGGTGATAATAGATGCAGTTGTGTAGCTCAGCCAGTGGTGAGCTAAAGGTTTAAAGTGAGAGCTCACCCACTCTGTCACCTTGGAAAATGTCCCACCACGTGGCGCTTGCCTGGGGAGGGGGCAGATGCTGAGATTTGGTGTTCATTCA